TAGGGAAAGGTGCGAGGCCAGGTCATAACGCTGCATGTTAGAGAGGAGAACGCGGTTCTCATACTGCAGCTGCATAACCTGAAGGGAAAAAGAGAGGTGGTAGTGAGAGGGGATTCGCCATGCTTGCGACATGGGTCTATAGATGTTAATATCAGGTCAGCACATGTTAGATGGATTACTATGAAATCCATCTAACCAGTTGGTCGCCAGAGGATGAAACCTAACAACTTTGACAATCCTCTGACTGGTGACTTCATCTGGCACCATCACTGGGTTCACATCTGTGTGCCATGAAATCTGTTACACACATTCACACCCTCTCAGGATTAAACACAGTATTTAAGTATATTTTATGTCTGGTCAGTTCATAATCAAAAGGAAATTATCAAATATGTGTCAATATAATCAATAGACCTTTCCCAATAGACCTTTCATACCTTTCCACTCAGGTCATTAATTTGTAGCCTTGCTGCCTTTAACTCTTCCTGCAGGGCTTCTGCCTTTGCTCCATCAATCCCTACGCCTCCTGTGGCTCCTCCCCCATGCCTGGCACCCCCCTCGTGGCTGCCGGCTTTGAATCGCAACTTGTTCAGCTCTGCAGTCACCCTCTTGTTCTGTTCATCAGCGTCAGCTAGGTTCCTCCTAAGAAGCTCTGCCTCATCCTCCACCAGCTGCAGCTGCTGTCGAAGCTCCGTCAGATCGTCCCCCAGTCCTCGCCCAGCACCTGGCCCACCCATCACTCCACTCCCTGAGCTTCCCGTTCTTTCTCCTTCACCACGAAGGTCATCCAGCTCTGCTCTCAGGCCGCGGTTCTCAACCTGTAGGAAAGAGGGAGAGCAGCTGTCTCACACACACACAAAAAAATCAAATAAATTCAACTTAAACACCCCATCTAACATCATCTGCTCTTACCTCCAACTCAACAATTTTCCTCCCCAGGATATTGGCTTCCTCCTCCACCAGGCGGAGCCGTAGCTTCAGTTCGGATTCCCTGGTGGTGGACGGCCCTCTAGCCTCTCCTTTAGGATGGGTGCTGTCCAGTTCACCATAGAATGAGTGATATTTCTGCAGCTCCTGCTCTAGACGGTCCTTCTCTTTGTCAGTCTTGGCCATCTTCTTCCTCATAAGCACAGCTTCCTCTTTGATGAAAGCTAGCTGGCACTTAAGGTCCTCATTGTCCTCCTGGAGCACAGAGAGAATACAGACCGTAAATACTAATGGGTATTTTAGCAAAAATAGTTCTAACTTAATCCTAAAGTTCAGATGGATTTAAGATTAATGTCAAGAGAAGATTTGGTACCACGGCCTTTATGAGCCAAAATGTTATCTGTCATTGGACCAAGAGGATGTTTGTTGTCTGCTATGTCTCTACAAACTCTTTCATACACTTTCAAATGATTGGAGAACTCGCTTTGACCTTTTGCGGCCTGAGGTTAAAAGCAAAATGTTTGACTTGAGAGCATTATATAAGGATGTGGTGAGCTAAACCTGTAGGATCTATGTCATTTAATAATGTAATTTAATAAGTCTGGAATTCAAACTTTTTATTCCCCTGATGAGACCTGAAGATGAAATACGGAAAGGAATACAAGGCAGATGTTCCACAGTGAGACACTTCCTGATGTTTCTTATTATTACTTTGGACAATGTGATTGTTTATGCAAGAAAAAAAGATCACATAAAATGATTTCTGTATTTAAAATAACATCTCACCTCGGTAGGAGCTGCTTTCTTGTCAGTCTTCTGGATGTCCTTGCTGCCTCTTCTCTTTTGAGACTATTGGAGGGCAGTAGATTGAAAATTTTATTTTTAAATTTCTACTATGTTTAATAGTTTACAGCTTTTTAGACTAAAATTGGGCTTTAATTTAAAATGCTTTAATGGACCTCTATGTAGACATCTATTTCATATTCAGTTTGGGCTTCTTGGTTGCATACTGTATATTTAAACAATTTCTCCATTTGAAAATGGAAAGCTACTGTATATGGTAGCTTAAACAGCATATCAAATTCTGTTACCTTGCTCTTACAAATGGCTGTGATGCAGGTGGATGTCGCTAATTTACCAACCTCTTTGGTTTTGTCTAGCTCGTTCTGCAGAGCTTGTTTGGTCACCTCCACCTCTATCAGTTTCTGTCTCAGTTTTTCATTCTCCTCCTCCGTCTTTGTTCGTTTCTCCTCCACCTTCTCCAGCTCATGGTGCAGCCTCACAGACACATCCTTCGCCACCTGCAGGGATTTTAGTGTGATTTAATAGAAAACTGAACTTTCCGAGCACCGTTTAGTTGATATGAGGATATCGTTTTGATTTCAACTTTTGAGTTTTAAGATTTATGTTTTATTATATTTGAGCAATTCATACCCATTTGTAAACCAGTAAAATGCACTGGCGTCATCACAGGAGTTGTTACCTGTGCCACTGAAACCTTGGGAAAGCTCAATGCCCTGCAAACTACAACCAGACAGACCCTTACAAAACCAAGCAGCTTCCCCACCCTTCTCTACCTTCAGGTCCTGCTCCAGACTCCTGAGCAGCTCCTCATCGATCTCTCCGGCCTGAGCATAGCGCATCCTTTTCCTATCAGCCTTCCTCAGTCGATACTGCAGGATCCGGCAGTTTTTATTGGCTCTCTCTAGCTCGCGCCTCATCTCCTGCAGCTGACAAGTGTCTTCTTCGTAGAAAGTGTCTCTCATCTCGTCCATCTCCGTCCTCATCTCTTCAATCTCACACTAGTTGCAAAGATTTTTGGATGGTCACGTTATAAGATAGACACATATAGTTTAGATTCAGAGCTGCTGCGGCTGACCGCCGCTGTTTTTACTGTAGCATCTGACTTTTGTCTCCACATGTGGAGGTTTGGATATGAGCCTAATAATAACAGAGAAGTCAAATTTTCCCCAAAATGTATTCCACAGACATGCCCTTCAACTGCCAATATGGCAGTTGCATGCATTCCATGCAGATCTCAGCTACCTGCCCTGTTGGTGGTCCTGTCTGAACACAAGATATCACTGATCACAACAGGTCAAAAGCAGTATGATCAATAACCAATTATTCCAGTTAGGGCATAGCTTTATTTTCTCAGACATGGAGGATGTTCAGGTGACAAATCAACTGATGGCTACTTGTCAGTAATGCCATTGCAACCACAAGACAGTGCAGAATGAAGGGTTTTATAGGCCCACAGGTTATAAACGGGCTAAAAACGGATTTTCTGTATTTCTTAATGTGGGTTCTAGTACCAAAAATGAATTAATTAATATGTACCAAACCTTGAGGTCTTCGTTTTCCTCCAGCAGTCTCTCCATCTCATCCTGGAGGGCCTGGTCCTGCTGTGTCACGGACCCCGCCTCTGTCGCCTCTGCAGCCGGCCCCAGCTCTCCCTGAGCGGCCTCCTCTGTGCCGGTGTTGTCCGTCTTGGTTTGCATCTTCGTCCCGTTTCTTTTCAGTCGCTTCTGCAGGTGGTAGTGGATCAGTTCAGCCTGTAAGCATCCCCCTCTCCACAAACCAAAGCCGAGGCCCGCTCCGCAGCCCACGGACGCGCCGCTTCTCTCCCTGTGGCCGCCTTCCTCTCCGGATTTCTGCACTTTATCGTTCACCGAAAGGGACGTCGGGGCTCTGGCGGACAACTGACGCTGGTTGCAGTCGCCTTTAAGCCAAGGTAGGCGGAAAGCAGAGCGACGGTCGGGCGCTGATGAATTTGTCGGTTCTTCTTCGACAGTATCCGCCCTGTTTGGTCTGACTACATCAGCTTCAGCACCATCCGGGTGAACAGCATCCCCACCGCGGCTCTCGGGCTCCCTCTCCCTTCCGTCCGCGGACGTCGGGCTCTCCCTCACCCCGATGTTTCTCCTGATTCCTGCAGCAAGCGGAGATCTGGACCTGCCCGAGTGTCTGGGAGCTCGCTTTGTTGCCCCTTCCTGGGCTCTAACCGGCGAGGCAGCCCGGTGTTGCCTCTTCCTCCCTGCGCTATTGTCTGCTGACGATGACGGGGGATCTGCAGCGCCGCTGGCGGCAGGCTTCGTTCTCTGCTCCATTAAAGTTAACTTCAAACATGTAGTTTCAAGTCTAGGAAAAAAAAAACTCGACGTGCAAACGTTTTTAGTCACGCAGCTCAGTTATTTTTATGCTATGTTCCACCTTCCCGTTAACTATAAACTTTAATTTAGAGGTAGATGTTTCCAGCAGACAAACCACTAGATGCCGCTTTTGTAACACGATCATCAACTCGTCCTGACCCAACTTTACAAGGGGGTGTAAGCGTATTTGTCTTGCGCCGGACTTTTAACGACAGGCTGTGGCCTAAACTGGACCCACAGCCACTGGCCGACTTGTTTTTATAAAGTCCAAGCAAATGCATATTCACAGATAGGCCCTAGCTCCATATAATGGCTGACACCTTACCGCAGAGTACTGTGAAGAATCGCTGACATAGGTTGCCTCCAGGCACTGCAGGGGGCACATGACGCCGGGATGTGCGTCAAACCCGGAAGCGACCTCTCTTCCCCCCTTGGATGTATCCCGTATCCCCCCACCCATGCTTTGCCCCATCCCAATATGTTTTATTGGCATGACCATAATGAAGTAGCCAAAACAAACAAACAGAAATATCACATTGAACTTTAGATCTGCCGCTCATCCTCCACATCTTCTGCTGGTTACAATCACCTCTGAAGCCTAAATTTGCTGTGCCTGTTTTTAAGAAAAGATATTCACTTAAATACCCTATAAATGGCCAAGCATAATACCAACATTAATGCATAAATCTTTCAGGTGTGCACACATACCAAGTCACGTGGTCTGTGACCAGGTGATGGAAATTCAGACCCAGCAGAGGGTGCTCCTCACCCATGAAATCACCACATCAGAGCTCCAAAGCCAGTCTGTCTGATACCCGAAAGAGAGGCTGACTGGGAAGTAAAATCAGCCCTGGAGTTTGATCCAGAGACCAACACAGCCAACACGTGAATACAGTGTCAGAGTTGCCCCAGTACTGAAAAAACCAAAGTAGCAATATCACAAATGCAGTGCTATCTATCATGAATAATAATAAGGTCAATTTGGTGCCATGTTTATATGCAATGCATTTCTTTCTGTCTTTCTAGCTGAATGACAGATTCTCTACGAGACAGCTGAGCTGGTGTATCACACACATCCTAAATAAACAAATTTCAATGAATTTTTGAAACAAACCAATTTGTAGCTGCCATGCTAGTACTGTATAATCTATTCAGGCTAATATTGTCTTCATAGTTTGGTTCATTTGTATGATGGAAGATGCCAGTTATTATTCACTCATAGCATTTGAATGAGGAGTGATAAATAGACCAAACATAACAGGCAGCTGAAGCTTGTTAATCAGCTTGTTAATAACCTACCAATTATTTTATAGCAGGATCACACCTTGTGTTTTGAATGTGGCTGGATACGTCTTAATTACAGTAGCTGTGGATTAACAGCAGCGTGGATTGCTACAGGTTATGAGCTGTGGAGTTACTTTCAAGCTTAACTCAAACTATCAAGCAAGAACAACGCTGGTAGATTGAACAAAGAAAATGTGTAAAATAACACCAGGCATACTTATGGGCTCATAACTAGCTTTAATTTGACAGGTTACTATTTTAGGTTAAAGTGTAGTGGAGGCACCAAGCCTCAGTTCAGGGGCTGTTGACTGAGGTCAGTCTACGGAATGCCCAGATTATCTATCCGCCTCTGGACAGAGTGCCAGTAAATACTGACCATTTCCCCTCTGTTAGGCTATGACCTCCTTAGTCATATTGCTAATGAGATGAGTGAGTTATGGGTAATGTGTCTGACATTAATATATTTTTGTCTTGAGAGTATTGCATAGGCATAATTTTACTTAAAAATACACAGTCTGTGCACAGAGTTAATGATATGTGTGTGTGTTCAGGTATATGTATGCATGTTCGTGCAGCAGCGGGTAGTCAGGTTATAGTGACCTGTGCTAAATGCCTTTGATAGAAAAGCCTTGGCCCTTCTGCAATCCTTTAAGTCCTTGGCTTAGATCCCTCCGTGTACCAGAGGAGGATAAATACGCCTCTTCTCACTCATCTTATCCAGTCTGTTATTCACATCTACACCCTTAGACCTCTTTCTATTTCCACCCTGGTGCTATGAGTGCACCAGCATAAGTTAGAGGAGTGCAAACTAGTGCACATACAGCAGGATGTATAGAGGAGGTTATGGGAAAAATGGCTATGCATGAAAAATACACATGTGGGCTAAGACTGTGCTGAGACATGCTAAGACATGAAATACTAACAGAGTGGCTATAAACTGAGGCCAACAGGAAAAGGATACTGGATGAATAATTTAATAAATACCATTAGTGAATCCACAATGTGGTGAAAGAGCAGCTGGGTTTAGTGTGTTTGTCACAGGCTACTGAAGAAATGAGTGACAAGCATGTGAAAAAACGTGGCTGAATAGAGCAGTATAATCCTGAAATGAACCAGAATATTAATTTGCACTGCACTGGTGTCACTTAGGTGTCTCTTGTAAAAGCCAGTTTCAGAATTTCAATAGCGACCTGATGGTAGATTAGTAAAGGCTTCTCTTCCAGTAACCTGCTTTCCTGGGTATGGCGTGACATAGAAATAAGCTCTTTGAGAGCTAAAGCCAATTTACCCCCACAGATTAGGGCAGCTCTGTATGGACAGGCCAAAGACACAGGCTACTTCTCTCTTTCACACACACACGTGAGTCCTTTTCATCCTGCAGACCGAGATGGAAGAAACAAATGCAAGATGTAGGGAGAAAAGAGAGGAAAACGAGAACATGGAGAGAAATAGGCAGCTAAACATCGCTTTAGTAGTAAAGTAGCTGACTGATTCTGCAAATGTGTTCACATGCTCACATCAAAACTAACCCAGGTTCACAAGCATTAACTATGGGGCGCTGACATTGTCTTTTATTTGTTATATGTGCAGCCAGAATCTGTCACTTTCATTTTAATAAGACAATGAAATTACCATTCATCTTCTTAAACTCTTTTCATGATTAGTTTTCCCTTCAGTCCTACTTGGCAGTGAGACAATACTGAGCTCAACTTTAATCTCTTATTCTTGCACATCAGCTACATCGCACAGCAAAAAGAAATAAATCATGAGGACCCATGAAAAATATTATAACAAAAGTAACCCACAAATTTAAATAAATACTAAAAGAATCTAAAGTTTCCTCCCCCAAAAGGGATTTAAAGCAAGTTTTTATTTCACATTGAACACAAAGAAAATGGTATTCTGTATTTGCAGCTTCAGTTTGGGACACTTCATACTTTTCATTTGCTAATCTTTGGTATAACTGCATGTTCTTCTTTTGGTTATGTTCATTAAAACTCTTTTAGGGCACTACGAAATAAATTAGCTTATTAAAGACTACTCGAGCTTTTAGTTAAAACAATACTCAAATCTAGAGTACAAAGCTTGGAGGTGAATTTTGGTTGTTTTTATATTATTACTATTATGGTCCAAAGCAGTGTTGTGCAAAGGAGCACAGAGCTTACTGTACATGATCAGCGTTTTGCTTTTCTTGATTAAATGGAGACAATCAGTACCCCACTCTTCCTCTCATAACCAGAACCCTTTACAGACACACCCACCTACATTGCTGCCCTTTCATCTTCACAAATTGGTCACAAATTTCATCCATCTACATTATTTGCAGGGATGCTGAAGCCAGTCTGGTTCATTTCTTCCCTCCCTGGCCCTCGAAACATCTGTCTTCTTTCTGTTTAACACCAAGCACGCCCCTTGTCTTTCTTTACTCCCTTTTTGGTCTTTCTTTTTTTTGTCTCTTCCTGTTATCCTCCACTTTGCTGTGACCGTTAATGAGCACCGAGTTGCCGTTTGCCACGGGCTTGCCTCCCTTGTGTGAGGGGGGTTTGCGCCGGTAAGCGTGGTAGTAGAAATTGGCAAAGAGGATGATGAAGGATATAGTGTAGCCAATCAGAGACCACTGCATCCAGTTGGGGAATGGACAGTCTGTGTAGAGTGAGTGGGCAGCGTGGCCGATGGTCACGTGGAACTGGATCTGTTGAACACACAAAGTTATTTAACTTCAAGCAAAAAACTTTATGAAGGATAGCAAAAGGGAGCACAGTGATCTCGGATAATACAAAACATGAAACATGTTGTTCCCTCTACATGCATACTGCAGCTATTTTGGTTTTGTAAAACTATCCATCATCATGTAAATTATAAGAAGACTGAATGTTGAATATAGACAGAAATCAGTAACAAACTAATAACAGTCAGATCGTGAATAAATCTGAATGAAAAAGGGTAAAAGTTTCTCATGTGGTTTAAATGTCTGAGAACATTCAAACCCTGTGTTTCAAATTTTCTAGAACAATTATACAAAAAAGAAAAAGTGATTTTCACCATCTGAATAATGGTGAGGTATTTCTTCCACCAGAGGTACTTCTGCATGTGAGGTCCCAGAGCTGCCAGGCCATAGTAACCGTACATGAGTACGTGAACACAAGAGTTAATGGTCGCACCTAAAAAAGCTGTGGACAGATTAAATCGTTGAATCAGAGTCTGATGCAATAATAGTCATGACACATATAAAAGACTAGCATGCAACTTGATGCCAGTGCTTCAAAGTCTTACATACAGCCGTACAGTCAGATTCTATAGTGTTCCTCCTGTAAAGGTCAGTGTTTTCCTCACCTTGTCCACCAGGGACCCATTTAATTCCAATCCACCAGAGGATGAACATAGTGCAGTGGTGGTAGACGTGGAGGAAGCTGACCTGGTTAAACTTCTTCCTCAGGATGAAAAAGATTGTGTCCAAGAATTCCACTCCTTTGGAAATGTAGTACCACCAAAGAGCAGATGCTATCTATAGACACATAACAGCGTGGATTGAATTATTCCATCTTACTGTGGTGGATCGTGTGCAATGTGGTGTCTTTGACGAGTGACAACTAAAGCTTGAGTAAAATGTGCTACCATAGCAGTGCATTACCACTTTCTGAACACAGTTCTGCAAAGTGAAATATGGCTAATATTTATTCTGCTGCAAAGAGATATTTCCAGGCTCATGATTGTGACAACTCTGTAAATGAATAAGAGCATAACAGGAAAAGTAAAGAATCAAATTCAAGATATACATGTACAGGAAACTAACAATCATTGAATGAAGTAAAGATTAGAATATATTGAGCCACTGGAGGGTGTAGATTAAGTTAATGAATATTTTCCTTATTATTAATAATGGATCTGAACGGTTTCTGTATCGTTTTCAGTATGAAAATAAATGAAACAAATGCTTTGCCTGAAATCCATATTTCAAATGTACTCAGCAGCAGAGATGTCTTACAGTACATATGATAAGACAGGGTGGCAATTTACTGATCCCAGAGCAAAAATTCAATTAGAAAATTTCCCACCAGACTGACACTGCTTCACAAATCACAATCCTTAGTGATTTCCTGTTGAACTCTTCTTGGGTCCTCCCTGCTGGTACACACATGTATAGTATATACAGGCTGCTTGTCAAGTCTTACAGTATATGATTGTTATTCAGTCCCATATCCTTGCTCAACCTGGAAGTCGTTTTGGCCGAGTGAGGATTGAGGACATGTCAAGACTCTTATTCCTGCTCTGAGGAGCAAGGGGGCTGCTGGAGGAGCCATGAGTGATGATACATGAACACATCCTTTATGGAAGTCTTTTATGGACCGACACGCCCCTTTATCAAAAATCAGTTGGTGACTGGATGCTTCAGATGAAGGATCAAAGGAAAGGACGTCTGTGTGTAAGTCTGTGTGCAGAATTGTGCATATAAAGCGTACTGGCATGTGTGGTGCACACAGTAGATTTGTTAGGTGATGTGTGTAGGAGGGGCTTACCCTGACTTCGTTGACATCATTGGAGTAGTTGACAGGCTGACAAAGGTAGCTGTATCTGGCTGCTGTAGTGCCTATTAGGAGCTGATAGAATGAAAGAAACCATTGTCAGACAGAGTCTGTGGACGATACCCAACTCTGGTTTGAAGAACACAACAGCTATTGCATGTAACTCCCGTAGACTCACTCTTGCTTGCAAAGCATTACATTCTTTTCCATGTTTTGCTAGCAGCTTTGAATTTTCTATACAAACCAGTGAGTTGTTAGAACATTTGGGATTGTAACTTCTGGGTTTAAAACAAGAGTAGAACAGCACACCTCAGGATGAATTTATTCAAGCATCATTTCTACATTTAACTGTTGTACAACTGTATTGTACTGTAAGCAGATGCAGCCTCTGAATACCCATACAAATTAAATGTTCAACCATTTAAATGTCATACAATTGAAGTGAAATTAAGGGTATTCTCTCTTTTCATTGTTTAGTAGACACAGTATCACTGGGTGCTTGTATTTTTCTACACCTTTATTTTCTTGTCTGTGAGCCTCACTGCAAACATGCAGGATCCCAAATGGTGTGTGTATGATTAATGATGAAAAGTCAAAGAAAAGCATTGTATTTTTACATGTGCTGACCTGTGGGGCAGGTACTGTAGAGAAGCTGGAGTTTATACGACACTTCTATAAAGGGAAGCGTGCATTCAGTGCACTATCTAAGGAAATCAAATTTATGTGCAGAGTGCATTTACGTTTTATTAAACCAACAATCTGTTACATAGAATGTTAGACCTACAGAATCTGTTTTGTACTCGTTGTTTAAAATGCATTTCTACACTGAATATTGAATTTTGAGTGTGACGCAAAAGTTGTTTAAGGAAACACCCACTACAAGTGTTAGCTGCACTGCTGGTGACAGAACTTATTAAGGTCTTGTTTGGTAGTTGCCATGTCATCCCTTTAGAATCCTGGCAAACTAAATGTGCCTAGTCCTACATCAGTCACGTGCAGTACACGTTCTTCTAAGGCTGAGCCCGCAGTGGCACTGACCTCTTTGGTGATGTAGAAGTTGAGGACCACCATGCTGAAGTTGTAGACTATGAGGGTCTTCCTGAGTGTGTAGGGCTGGCGGTCCTTCATGTATCTAGGCCCCGCCCACAGGAAGAGCAGGTACAGGCAGCTGAGGGCCAGAGTGGGGAAGGGAGACGACATCATCGGCCAGTTCTCCACCCTCTTGTCTGGAGGAAAACGGGTTAATGTCAGTATAATGCACACACTACAAAGCTTACCTTCTACAGTTAACCTACAAACTCTCGCATACGCACACTCCCACTCCAGACAACCTTTATTACCTTCAGTGTAACACATGTCTGTCAGGTAAGTTACATTACCTTTTAACAGTTAAATAATAAGCTCAAGTAAGAGTACTTTTGCCACACACTTTTTGCAGTTTTTGTTTCTCTTGACAGGGAAATGATGACTAATAACTTACCATACTTACTGCAAAGATGCAGGCATAGAGCAAGGAACATCACCATGTAAGTAACTGAGCAGCTTTTTTTTTAGCCCATTTAACCATATTATCTAAACCATGTGTTATGAGCAGGAAATAAAATCAATGTTAAAATGACTACACAACCTACCAAGGCTTACTGTAGATCAACTGTAGTTATGTATGTAGTTATGATCAAATCTGGTTATACTCCCATGCATCTGAAGTGGCACATTGCCCTTGTGTGATTTAGAAACAAGTGAGTGTAAAGCTCTTACCTGCTATTGTAAGGCTCCATTTATAAAATTCTACAGTGTCATTCACAAGATGTGTTACAGCCTCCATGGCTCTGCCTTTGGTCTTTATACTGTGGTGGGGAGAGGCAGACACAGTCAATGTCAGTAAGAGTCACCCAAATTCAATTACAAGCAGTGTCCTATCACTGTAGCATGAGGAGCTACACTATGTAAACATTTTGCAATGTGAGTAGCCTATGTATTGTGTTGTAGTTGAGTCACTAAACCACAAATCCAAATTGAATCTCGAGTCCCCAGTATCTGTGTCAAGTCTGAGTCACCAAAGTATAGTCCAAGTTTAGTTTAGTTTTTTTAAGCTATGTTTTTGGGCTTTTAGCTTCTTTGACAGTGAATCACCAAGAGGTGGACAGGAAACAAGAGCGATGGAGAGCTGCAGAGACAAATGGTGTTGGGACTTGATCCGTTAATGTCACACACGCAGTGTGCTGCCAAGTATATGGTACGCCGTGCCGTAAGCACTCGGCTATGGGCTGCCTGTCCGAGTCTAGTTTGAGCCGAGTCCATGTTACCTGAGTCCAAGACAAAGGTCTACATTAAACACAACTTACACAGCTCTCACCATTTTACAAGGAGTTTACATACTGGGTGTAACACACGTGGGTTTTCCTTGCTTCTGTACAGCATAATGAATTGCCTCTGTATGAAATGTACTATATAAATAAAATTGCCTCACTTTTCAGCATCCTACAAAATTGACTTCTTACAATGTTGAATTCTTACCAGATAACAAGTTAAGAGCAGCCACAAGTGAAAGGTTTTAGGGTAGAGATTTACATCATGCAATGTCATAATATATACTACAGCACGAAATGAACCAGCTCACAATAAAAGCATGGATAATATTCTCCAGTACACCCTTTTTCAGCATTGCTGTAATATTAGGCCTCTCTTCATTTGTCCTTGGCTGAAACAGTAAGGTAACATTAAACTCCACATGATGATAATGCACTTCCCATTGATCCTTGTGACTGCTAGTTGGTCACAAGCGTTTGACATAGTCTAATTGTAGAAAGCAGGATGGAGGATATCGGGTAATTCAATTCTCTCTGTTTCGGACTCTGTTCTCTCTCTTACAGATGCATCTTTACCGTATTAACCATCTACAGATGGACAAATATGACATTAGACATTAAAAGGTTTGTACTGTAATAATAGTACATGTTTAGTGTGCACTGTACATTGAAATGGAGATGTGCACCTCACTGAGCCTAATTAACACCACATAACGGTTCTTACCCAGTTGAGAGTAGGTGTCTCCTACATAATTAATCCATAATTAATCCATGCATCACCTCAGCTGCCCTTTAAATAATTCACTGCTCAGTATACAGTAACTACTGTCCTTCAGTTTCACTGACAGGAAAGTGAGAGCATTAGGTGTGTGAGGACGAAATACATTGTAAACCAGGCAACTTTTGCAGGACATGTAATATCTTGGCCACTGTGTGTTTTGTTTTTCAGTGACACCAGACGAGATAGAGAAGGTTGTGCGCACACAAAAAGACAGGCGCATGTGTCAGCAGGTTTCGCTCAAGAGGCTTAAATTCAGTTGACCAACGAGCTTAGATGAAGGCCTAAGTACAATGTCCAACGACCCACAAGCCTGTTTGGTTATGTGCTCTCATGTGCTATGGCACAGGCAATTCAAAAGCCTCGTTCATGAAGAAAATTCAGATTACAACCCGCAGATAAAATAATAGAATCTGCAATAAAAATAGTGAAGATATATCGCACATTTATTTAAAATGTATTTTAAGAGGTTCAGCTCCCCCCGCAGCCAATAAAATCAGCTACACATTTTTGTATCTTAGGGATTATGGTTTAATTCAAATTTGATCTTTTGCCTAGGTTTAACAGGTGCATGTGTCGCTGAAAGCGGATGAAGACGAGGATAAGATTAAACTATAAGAAATGCGGTGAAAAGCAAAAGCACAACAAACGAGTTGGACAAAAGGCAAAAGCTGGACTGTTGAAAAGGATGCAGCCACTTACGTCCTCGGTGTTTGAGAGCGTGTAACTTAATGACATTCGGTGCAGTTTGATGCCCAGCTCCTGTCAGTTACTGCTTTGCTCTTCTTCCTCTGCCTCCGTTACCACTTATCCGTTTCTACACAGTCCCGGGTATAGTTCGACATTAAACTGCAATTTTACAAGACACTAGACAAGACAAGTGAAAATATATGACTAAGCTGTTCCAGTTATACAGTCGGTCCGTTCAGCATCTTCTTCTCCCAGGCTCCTGAACATCCAGATGGCACTGCGCATGCGGGAATTCACACAGCCCAGCTCGTGTGCGCAGGCGTTGTGTGACAGCTACTTCTGCCTGTATGTGTAACCAAATAATCAAATAACCAACTAATTAGTGATATATATTTACCTAATGGGGCTTTTGCACAAAATTAAACGTGTGTTTCCACATCCTAAAAACAGCTGTTTATGTCCTTTGGCTCTGCAGGTGTCTGGTGATCCTACATCTTGTTTCCCGGCGCGGGTTGTCCCACTAGATGGTGCTGTGCAGCTGTGGTTGGATGGTAATGTCTTTGCTTCAACAACTCCCCTGCTCTGACAGCCTCAGGAGAGATGAGGTTTCTCTGAAAAAAGCTTGATGTGTTCTGTTACAGTAAATCCATAATCAAGTTCCCTTTTTTGCCATACATCCTGCTAAGGCGCATCAGTTGTCGTTTATTTTGTGCTGCAATAGCTTATGTCACTGTCAGAGTCTGTTATGGTGCAGTATTTGTTATAAACTGTACAGTTGCCACACACAATTTGTTGTTGCTGAATAGACAGTGCCCACTCCAGCAAGGGCACCTAGTGCCTTTTGGCACAAAGGTTTCTCACAGTGTGGGCTGTGCCATTGTTGAGCATCTGGTTTATTTTGAAAGACTCCATTGCCCTATCCTTATCATTGATTGTTTTGTTCAGTTACTTTGTTTTCCCTTGAGCTATGGTGACTGATCAGTCACCATAGTAGCAGGACTGCTCTAAGCTGGTCCAAAGACCAAGGATCTTTTAGTATTAGTATTAAAATGTTAAAGGAAATAAATGTGTGTTCGTGTGTCTGTCTGTGCGCCTTTGTTTTACTTACATTATGGTGACCGAAACCTGTTAACACACTCACATTGTGGGGACTCAGAATCAGAATCTGCTTTACTGGCCAGGTGTGTCGGACACAAGAGGAATTTGACTCTAGTACATTGGCTCTCAATGTGTATGTACATGCAAAGGGAAAGTAAACAGTAAAACAACATAAGGCTGTGTAATATAACAAAATAAGCAGTATACAGGCAGTAAACAATGCAGATAGACAAAGGCTTACTCATTGTGAAATGAGATGAATAGGAATAAAAACAGAGTACTTAAAAATAGAGACCTGTATGAGTCTGTATAATCTGTGCAATGTATATTTACAGGTATTGCACTGAGGATTATTGTCCAGTCATACTGTTGGTTAAGTGCTAATCAGGGTGACAGCCTGGGGGAAGAAACTGTCCCTGTGCCTGGTTGTCTTAGTGCACAGTGACCTGTAAACGCTGTCCAAAGGAGAGGAGTTCAAACTGATTGTGTCCAGGGTGTGAGGGGTCTGCAGTGATCCTTTCCGCCCTCCTTTTGACCCATGAGGTGTACAGGTCCTCCATGGAGGGCAGGCTTGCACCAGTGACCTTTTCTGCAGTCCTGACCGTCCGCTGAAGTCTGTACTTGTCCTGTTTGGTTGCTGAGCCAAACCAGACAGTGATGGAGGTGCAGAGAACAGACTCAATGATTCCTCTGTAGAACTGTATCGGCAGCTCCTGGGGCAGGTCGAACTTCCTGAGCTGGCACAGGAAGTACATCCTCTGCTGTG